ACCAGTATTGTCCAAAACTATATTATACATATAATAAGATTTGTAAAAACATTCATCATTCATTTCATAACAGTTGGATAAGATTTCTAAAAACATTCATCATTCTTCATTTCATAACAGTTGGATACAGAACACGAAAAAGGATTAAGACATCCCTTTACAAGGTGCTAAAACAGCATAGCATCTCAAGAAGAGGTGAAACTGGTAATGATGGGGATTACAACAATGAGAATGATCAAAAGCAGCACAATGATACCAATACACATCCATTTCCTACTGCTTCTCTGATGCTTCTTTGCGGTATTGAGCTCGCTAGCCCCATCCTTGACGTAATTGCTCGCGTTCAACACATGATGCTCGATCTCATCCATCTGTTCACCTTGTGCTTCAACCATCACAGCCATGTCCAAAAACACCTGGTGAAGCTCCAACAAACTCTTCTCTATCTCCTTCGCCGCATCGTACCTTCCATGTTTATACAAAACTTATTAGAGATCTTTTAGAAACAATTTCACAGTTTATAGAAACAATAGATAGTATACCTGTCTTGAATCTCAACCACAGTCTCCAAGACCTTTCCTTTTCCATGTTCCTGAATGGCTCTGGTGAGAAACTCTTCACCTCCAGTGTTATCAGTGATGATCTTCTCAATCATTTCTTCATCAGGATACTCTCCAGTAACAGTGAAGTACCTTCTTTCAACAGTTTCTTTGTACTCACTCATCATCTTCTGTCTTAATCCTTGAAACTCCATCATCACTTCCTTTAACTTCTTTCTAAGTCCATTAGTCACAGCTACTCTACTCCTGTAAACAGGAGTTCCAGAAAGCCTTTTGATCTCTCTGTTGGCTTTATCCATCTCTTCAAGCTTCGATTTAATCGATTTCGCTTTCCTCAGACCAGACACAATCTCGTTTGAGATCTTGCCACGGAGAGATTTCACCGATTCTGCTTTGTGCACACCTTTGATCTCTTCGTTGTACTGCTCGATACGAGACAGAGTTTCGCCGATTAGACTCATCTCTGATTTCACATTCTCTGCTTCTTCTAAGAAAGAAGACAGATTCTCGTCTGTTTTGTTCGCCATCTCGAGATCAAAGTCAGGTCCTGCTTCCAAATCCTTCATCGCTGCTTTCTTCAACTCAACGTAACTCATGAACGATTTCGTCATCAAGTCGTTCATTTTTTTTTTCTTCGCCTG